TCCCCCAGGATCTCGGCAGGGGAGGGAGAAGCCTGAGTGGAGTAGTACGGGGAGGCGGCCAAATGAATCTGATAAGCCGAGCGGGGGTGGGCAGAGCTGACACGGTGATCAGGCTCAACTCTAGAGGTTCTCCTCGCTCTGACTGGGCATGCGCAGAGTTCCTGCTGGGGGCTAGGGAAGGTGTCCCACCTTGTCGTGGCTGACCAGACACAGAGTAGCCTGCCGAAGCAGTAGGACTCCGCTCGGCTCTGCAACTTCAGGCTGGCAGGTGCCAAGAGTCACTACAGTTCCCAAGGACTTTTTTTTCTTTCTTTCTGGGTTGCCCACACTAAGTGACACGGAGTCAGCAGGAGTGGTGGGAGGACACTTTTATGACACCTCCTCCACCTTTATTTTCTCCACAAAAATGTGAGTCTCATTTAATTGAGTACACACAACTCCACTTGGAGGCAGATAGGAATTAGAATTCTCATTTTACAGAGAAGGAAATCAAGGCTCAGAGAGGTTAAGAAGCCTGCCCAAGGTCACAGAGCTAGTAAGTGGGGAGTCAGGATTCAAACAGAGATTTTCTTCCTCATATCCCATGAATTTGCAACCATGCCAAACTCACTCTCAAGTGAGCCCACTGAAAGGTCAAAGATAGGAAGAAGGGAAGACCTACATCCTCTTGCTTTGGTCCTTCTGTCTCATTTGTCTTTCTTCACCTCATTCCCTTGGTTCACAAGCCTTTCCATATCCTCTGACCAACCTGATTCAAAACCTGCTTCTCCAAGAAGTCTCCTGGATTTCCTCCTTACTCAGTGTCCCCTCAGCACTTGTGAAATCAACTTGCGGCATGTCGTTTAGCTGTATGCTGTACCTCTTTGCAATTCTGCTCCAGCCATTTCCCTGTGCAGCTCTACTGTCCCCCCCAGCTCCCCAGCCCCAAAGATGGCCAGGTCCTAATCTCCAGAACCTGTGAATAGTTACTCACATGGCAAAAGAAATTTTGCAGATGTGATTAAATTAAGCGTCTTGAGATGGGGAGATCGTGCTGGAGTATCTGGGTGGGCCCAATCTAATCACATGGGTCTTTGAAAGCAGAAGAGGGAGGCAGGAGAAGATATGATGACAGAAGCAGAGCTCAGAGTAAATGTGATTGTTGATTGCTGTCTTTGAAGATGGAAGGGGCCACCACCAAAGGATGCAGGCCGCCTCCAGAAGCTGGAAAAAGCAAGGAAAGTTTCTCCCCCAGAGCCTGCAGAAGGAGCGCAGCCCTGCGGATGCCTTGATTTGAGCCCAGCGAGACCCATTTCAGAAGTCTGACCTCTAGACCTGTAAGAGGATACATTTGTGTTGTTTTAAGGCACTAAATTTGTGGTAATTTGTTACAGCAGCAACAGGAAAGTAATACATCAGGATGGTGTGTTCTATTCATTCTGTTCTTATCTCCACACCGTTCGCCCACACACGCAAGCTCCCGGCACAGTTGGTACTCAGCACATGGTGGGGGCTCTGTGAACCTCAGAGGACTGGTTGGTCCCTGCCCCTGCAGAGTTTTGGGCTGGTTCCTCAGCCTCTCCTCTGCTGGCTCCGACCTCAGGAGCGGAAGCCCCCACTGGCCCTCTCTCCTCTCTCCAGTGTAGGAGAACACAAACAGCAACACATGCATCGGAAAAAGTGTAGATCTGAAGCTGGATTGTTCCTGAGCCTGGATCATACTTAACTTTTACAAGGGTCTTCTGATAAAGCCCTATAAACTGCTGAGGATGGATTTTTATTACCTTCTTCAGCCTCCCCTCCTCATTCTCCTAGCATACAGAGTAGGGTATGAGCCTCTTCAGCACCCGGCCCTTGCCTGCCTTTCCAGTACTTCTCTTGCCTTGCACTGCCTCACCCCTACGCCCCTGAAACCCTGAATTACCCACCAGCCCCCCCACACCATTGATCATGCTGTCCCCTCTGTTGGGAATGCCCTTCCCCTCCTCTCTGCCTGCTAAGTGCTTGGATGCAGGTCAGATATCTCCTCCGCCAGGGAGCCCTCCCTGACCTCTGTGAGAGTGTCTTAGGGCTCCTCCGCCATCCACAGACCCTGTGTCTGCCTCTGTCACTGCTCTCACTGCTACTGAGGTCCCTTCAGCTCTCCTCACTTTCCTCCTCTGCCCAGGGAGAGGATGGAGCTACCACCCAAGCTCCCTGTAGGCACGGCAGCGGTGGAGAGAACACTTCTGCCCCTACCCCGACCTGGTCATCCTGTATTTGCTCCTCCCCATGGGAGGGCAGAGGCCAATCTGATTGGTCAGAGCTGGGGCCACATTTCACTGGTGGGCAGGGCCTGGATTGAAAGGTAAAGTGTGGTCACCTTATGATCTCTGCCCATTGTTACCAGGCGATGAGGCCAGCTGGTCATTCTCTCTCTTGATTCCATCTCCTCATCCAAGGGTCTTTGGAAGTGGATTCTCAGATTCAAGAGGAAGGAAGTTAGACTCTACAGACCTGTCTCAACCTTCTGACCTCAGCTGCATTCTCCACTGCAGCTCTCGCACCCTTGTCCAGATGTTAATACATAAACCAGCACGTTGTTTCCCATCCTTAAATAGACTCTCTCAGTCAGAAACCTGGAGGGGAGGATGATGGAATCCTGAACCTCACACTTCCACACTGATTTATAATTGTTTGTGCAGGATACACCCTATTGTGTAGGTCAGAGGACTTGTTTAGCATGAGTCCCAGAAACATCTAAGAAGATGAACCCTGTTCTGATTCCCAGCTCCGAGTTCAAGAATGCTCTAGAATTGGGCTGTACTGTCTCTGAAAGTTTGAGGGTGGTGGCTGAGGAGTTCTATCTGAACGGCCTGTGATCATATTTTTACATTACAAAGCTTTGAGATTGGTGAGGTGTACCTGGCTCAGACGAGGTGGTCTTCGGCACGTGTGCAGGTGCTCCAGCCATAGATGGGTGGGTGGATGGGTAGATCAGTGGGTGGGTCAGTGGGTGAGTGGATGGGTGGGCGAATGGATGGATCATTGGATGGATCAATTGATAGCATGGCCTGAAGGGAGACATTCACGATCCCAGAAGGTCTGATATGACTCTCACTCATTCATTCTCACCTAACTGTGCACTCCTTGGCTAAAACCTTTAGGCCAGGAATCTGCCCCTCTGACCATTTTAGAAAATGTTGCTAGTCTCACTGCCACACATCCTGACATTTTTGAGCAGCCTTTAGACAAGTAAACTCTGTCTAAACGATCCTGTGACATCCGTGTCTCATCTTTCCAACAACCTGTACTTACTACTGACCTTTGTCAGTATACAGGTTGTATGTGACACCTTTTATGTGCCACCTCATATCCTCTGGGCCCCACCTGTCTCTGGGGCTGAAGCCACTTGTTCCATCCCAGCCACCACTGCAGCAGCCAGTCGTGCTGGGCTCCAGGGAGAGAGTTCCCCTGGAGGGAGCACAGCCCTGCTCACACCTTGGTTTCAGCTCAGTGATACTGATTTTGGACATCTGGCCTCCAGAACTGTGAGAGAATAAATTTCGGTTGTTTCTAAGCTACTTGGTTTGTGTAATTTGTTACAGCAGCCACAAGAAACTAGTGCAGCTTCTTCTCAGAAAGGGTCCTCAGAGATCACCAACTCAGGCCTTCAGGAACACAGTCTGCCTTTCTATGACATTTCTCTTTCCCACATGTCTATTGTTAACGTAGTTTGCTTTCTTTAAGTTGTTTCTAATGATGTTCAGAAGTCTGGTATTTAACCAAAACAGTGCATAAACAGTACTAATAAACTAGATCTCTTTGTGAATAGTAATCATAACTAGATCTCATTTTCTAAGAGAGAATGCTAAGGTCCAACTGGCCCCTCATCATGACTGTCCCACCCCCCTACTTGCTTTAAGCCCGTTCCATCCAACAGGTCAGTGTTTCTCCAAATGGGGTCCAAGGATCTCCTGTGTTGAATTACCTGAGGCACTTGTCTTGTTAAAAATGTGAAGCCCAGGACTCTCTCTCAAACTTACTGAATAAATAATCTTTGGGTGAGGTGTAGAAATCTGCACTTTTAATAAGCCTCTCAGGTGACTCTTAGCACCTTGACTTTTGAGAACCTCTACTATAGAAGAAAGAGGTCAGAGTTGACCCAATAGCACTTCCCTCTGTGACTCAGTGGTGAAACCACTGACTCTGGGCCAGATGCTGAACTTTTCTGGGGGAAGCCACTACCATGGCTCCCAGGACCAGACGCTGGTGATGAATGCCACACTGCACTCACAGAGGAACTAAAATTATCCTGTCCCCTCATGCGTTCATACCACAAAACAGCTGCAAAGGTGTTCAGAGAGCTGGGGACCACAAATGCTTTTGAGAATGTGAGTCACCATTAGGTAATTCATGGTAATTTAAGTTTTTAATTAAAAAGACCTGCACTAAACAATAGCAGCTTACAAATGCATGTACCCTTTGATCCTGCAATTCCACTTCTGGGAATTTATCCTATAGATATACTGTATGCTTATACATATGTACAAGATTATGCACTGCAGAACTGACTGTAATAGCAAAAGATTGGAAACCATCCAAAGGCCATCATCGTGGAACTGATGAAATAAATTATAGCACATTCATACAATGAAAAATAATGAGGAAACTGTGTATGTATTGATATGGAAATATCTCCAAGTGAAGAGGAAAAGCAAGGTGCAGAACACATGTCTAATATGCTACCTTTTGTATATAAAAAGGGAGTAATAAGAATCCACATTCCTATTTACTTGTATTTCATAAAGAAATTCTGAAAGTATATATGAGAACAGTGGTTGCCTCTGGGGGAGGAGATGGGGACTGAATAGATGGGTAAGAAGGGTGGGAGGGAGAATTTTCACTATATATATGATTATACTTTGAGGTTGGAACCATGTGAGTGTATTATTTATTCAAAAAATAAATAATAAAATAAAACTTAAAATAACCATTTATTGTGGCCCTTAGAACAAGCAATCTGGTCTGGTTCTCCATACCCGCAAGTCTTGGTGTCCACTGGAGCTCTTCAGACCAGGAGCATGTTTCAGTGGTTACCATAGTTAGATGTGGTGCTACGACCAGAATGCAGATTTCCATTGTCCAAAACGGCGGTGGGCGGACAGGTCTTTGAGTTTCTTACCGAGGAGAACCAGCTCTACAAAGGTTCTGGGATTTGGGTCCACTCTACACTGGACAGCTCCAAAAGAGGAGGGTTCCAGGGCTGCCTGGTACTGAGTACTCAGTACTCTAGTACTGAGGCATCAGCTGTTCCCGACTCACAAGGGAGGAATGGTGGTAGCGATCCCGAGTGGCGAAGTCTGCGTTCTCCTGGGTGAGCTGAGTCATCTCCATGTCAACCCTAGCCAGGGACGGCGCCAAAATGATCTGTTCTTGGGGGGGTTGCAAACTCCTTAGGCGAGAGAAACACAGAGGATGGTCAGAAAGAAAGACCAAGTGCTAAACAGTGGAGATAAGTCTCCTCTGGGATAGAGAAACTATCCGCAAAAACGTCATTGTGCTTATTATTTTGTGCTTATTATTTAACATGTATTTAAATAACATAACTGTTGAAAGCTATTTGTACAACATTTTATGAACCCAAGGTATGAGAGACAAGTACCAAATAAGAAGAGAGAGATATTTGCCTTTCTTTAGTAGAAACGTATAAAATTGTTTGGAAGATAACCTTCCAAATGCTGTCATGTTGGGGCTCTATAGCTTCTCTTTGCTTTTTTGTCAAATGAAATAATGGAATGGAGAGGCTGGAAAATTGAGAAGAGTAGAAAGAGAAACCTTCTTTTTGGTTCATTGGAAAGAAAGTTGAATGAGGAATGATTCCCAGAGCTAAGTTTACATAGCAAGCAGCTACAGGGTAAATGGCCTGAAGACAAAGAGCAAGTCCCAATATGGATTCCATTGTCACCGAAGTGTCTATATATAGTTGGAGTTGGAATAAACTGGTAAAGAAAAATGTTAGGGATATATGAGGAAAGTGCTAGAGGCAGAAGGAGTAAAGAAAGATCAGACTGGCAGTCAGGGTATCTACAGCAGATAGATCCAGTCCCAGCTCTGCCACTGATCAGCCTAATGGCCTCGGACAAACCTCCTCACCTCCTTGTGCCTCTATTTGCTCATCTTTCCAGGGCCCTTCCAGTTCCTACAGTCTACGTTAGGTCCTTAAGTCATACCTTAGGCATGGATTTTTTCTTAAAAATTTTACTCTAAAAGAATCATCTACCTTATGAGTAGTAATGTTCAATTGTTTAAAGCAGGAATATATTTGATAGCTGTAAAAAAAAGGTAGAAACTAACATTATAAATCTGTGCAACTTAAGCAGAAAGCTTCAACTGACTCTGGCAAAATGTGCTGTTACAGAAGTTCAGATCACATGACTAAGGCCTCGCAGCCACTTGATGAGAACACTTCTAAATTAGATAGGTTGAGGTTTTCTGAGAAATGAATTAACTTCTATAAAGGTTGAATCTTCAAGAAGTAAGGTTAGGAAGTGACAAAAATGCCATACCAGTCAACATATAAGTGTCTTTGCCAATGCATTTTTTTCATTAATGCTTTTTTTTTCTTTTTTTTATGGTGAAACCATTCCATTCTTCTGAGTTCAGGGAAATAATACACTTCACTTTCTAGTCTAGAATGGCCTAAGAATTATCACCTGGACAGTTGCAAGGACTTCAGGAAAGAAAGCCTTCTCAAGGTCAGGCTTAATTTCACATAATTCTGGGAACTGTAGGTGTAACAGAGGAAGTAACAGGCAAATTCTGTCGCCCAAACATGCTCTACAGTATTATTCTTTGGTTTTGAAGAGAATCTGGCGCTACAGTTGTGAAAAAAAGTCAAAACTACAAAATAGAAAACACAGCTACCAATTTCTACTTTAAAATGAATCACCATTTCTTGGTCCTTTAACCCTCTGAATAACCACCACAAAATATCACTCAGTAGCCATGGTGAGTCAGCAAGGTGAGGCTCGCAAGTCTGATGTTGAGACTTAGCTGAGGCCTCCACCACCCACTTCACAAGCCCACAGCACTATGAATAGTGGGGACTGGGTTCTATTCCAACCAAAGTACTGGCCTTTTCTAAGAATAATCTTCTCCTAATACATTCTTCTTTCTACATAGCACTACCGTGATCTCAGGGGTGAAATTCCGGGAATTCAGAGTGCGTCATAAGGAGGAGTGACCTCCCATGGCCATCTGTAGGCTTTAAAACCAGAAACGCCTAAAGATATTCCTGTCAATCAGATAAGGTGGAAAACTCTTAACCACGTAGCACTTGCAGCTCCAGAATCTGTAGGCAGATTCTACACAGAATCTATTCCACTGAAACTCGACTTTTCCTCAGGACTAGGTGGTAGGGGAAAAGAGACCAGGGCAGGTGTGTTGCGACCTGAGTCACCCAACCTGGTGCCTCAGACCGAAAGAGAGGCAGAGAGGTGACCCCACCCTCCTACAGCTCCACACAGGATGTTTAGCCCAGCTTCCAAGCAGATGACAAGGAGTTCTCCCCCAACATACCACCCTCCTCCCAGTCCTCTCCCTGTCGGTTTCCATAGCCCCTGCTCCTTTTTTTCATCATCCCAGGCTCTAGCACCAAGGTTCCATTTCTTGTGCCAACTTGTACAGACTAGTGCTTATAAAGAGTTGTCTTAAAAAAGATTCTTGGGAGGGAGGAATGGGGAGTTATTGTTTAATGGGTATAGAGTTTCTGTTTTGCAAGATGAAGAGTTCTGGAGATGGAAGGTGGTGATAGTTGAACAACAATATGAATGTACTTAATACCACTGAACTGTACACTTAAAAGTGGTTAAGATGGTAAATTTTGTGTTATGTGTACTTTACCATAATAAAAAAATGGGAAAAAAAGGGATTCTGAACTTACATCTGGGATCAACGGAAAGGGTCCCATAATCCATGAGCAATGCCTGGGCATGGGAGGTGGAAAGATTGGCAAGTGCAACCCAGACATCTAGAGGTTCAAAAACAAACCAACAAAATGAAACCAAATAAACACTTCGTTGGGTTCTGCCTGGATTTTCCCAGCCCGCAGGGTTGGCTCCTCACAGATACTGAAAGGAGAGGGAAGTAACTTCCCCGAGTCCTGAGGCCTTCAAAAGTGAGGAATCGTTGGCACTGGAAGGGTGGAGGAGGAGGAAAGAGATTAGGGCGCTCACGAAGTCTCACCTTCCCTATGAGGCCTTCTCCTGTTTCTCAGGAAAGTTTGTTTTTCCCTTTCCTGGCATATTTGAACATGGAGGTCCCATAGAAATCCTCCAGGATCTCTCCTCTATTTCTGGACTTGGCCTCTGCACTTTCACCAATACAGTCATGTCAACTACCTCTGACTTGAAATGGAAGAATCGGAGTCCTTTGGGCCTTAATCTTGTGTATGATTATGTATTGATGCTAGTGTGTCTTAGACTGTGAACTCACTGAGAGTACCTCTCTTATCACCCAGCAGTCAGATTCTAAACAAAGCTTCTGCTGATGATTCCTGAGGATAAGAAGGGAAGAGGACATGGGCCAGGGGAAGCCTCTGAAGAGCTGAGGCTGGGGGGCTGGGTGGTGGAGGGCAGTGAGGAGCAGTGTCTGAGTCTCCTCGAGGTTCTCAACTGTCAGGTTCCTATACAATTCACCAAGCCCAGGTAGGAATGGGACACCCCTTAGCACCTCCCAGGGCCCCGGGACACTCAACTGCCCTGGTGTTGGCCCCAGATCAGCACCGACCTGCAGGAAGGGATCAGGAGAGACTTCATCCATCTGAAAAAGCTGAAGTTGGAGGCTGATCCTGCAGGGAAGACATATACATAAATATTGACGAGGGCTCTAGGTATGCATTTAGAATCCTGGTTTTAATAGGGTGGATATACACCCCCTGACATACACACAGAATTAGCACAAATGGGTTTTTTTTCCTTTTTCAGTTTAACCAAACAACATTCATTGTAATACCCCCTGACAACGACCTGCTAAGGACTTCATACTCATATGTAGTTTCCAAAAATTTATTTCTAAACTCCAAAATCCCAGAAACTGAATACAGTGCTATAGAGAAAAAAGCAGAGGACTTGCTAACTTCAGTTTTAGGAATTAAAAAAAAATTTTAATAACATTTTTTTCTTAGATTCATACTAATATGTGTTAAATACATGCTATAAAATCCCCTACTCGACCAGACACTCTTTGAGGACAGGAAATGCGTCTTTTCCATCCTTCTGACACTCACAGAACAACACGCACAGGATTTGGCACTTAGGAAGTTTTCAACAGGTGGTAAGTGAATCACAGAGCTCAACATGTAGAAAGGTTAGAGCTGAAGTCTGAAGTGAGATTGTGGTGATCCTGGCCAAATAGCCTGACATTTGACACACAATCAGAATAGGGTTTATCAACTTTTCTTTTTTTTAAATCCATCTCCTTTGGTGTGGGTTTTTAAAAATCTCATGTAATAAATTATATATAAATTTAGGAAACTTAATTAAATGTAATTTTATAAAATGCTTTTCCAAATTATATATACTCTCTCTACCAGATATATGTGTATATATATATATAAATGGCTGGTTGAAAATTGGTTAATTAGATAACGTTCAACATATGATCAGGAAGTTAGCATTATTTTCAGAGGTTTATGTTAGAATCTTGGCTAATATCAATTGTATGCAGCTGATAACATGTATTTACTCAGTCTCATTTAGGATTCTTACAGTTGAAAGGAGGATAAATTTTAGATTTGCATTAAAATCTGCAATTGCAAAGAGAAGTTTCCTAATATATTTTGAGATTGGCAGAAGGAAGAAAATAAACACAAACATTAACTGACACTACTTATTCGTGATCATTTAGATTCTAAATCAGCCAGCCCTGGTGGTCTAGTGGTTAAGATTCAGCGCTCTCACCACTGCGATTCAGGTTCATTTCCCGGGCAGAGAACCACACCACCGTCTGCTGGTTGCCACACTGTGGCAGCTGCATGTTGCTGAAATGCTGAAAGCTATGCCACCAGGATTTCAAATACCAGCAGGGTCACTCATGATAGACAGATTTCAGCAGAGCCTCCAGACAAGACAGACTAGGAAGAAGGACCTGGCCATCCACTTCCAAAAAATTGCCATGAAAACCCTATGAAGAGCAGTGGAGCATTGTCTGATAAAGCGCCGGAAGGTGAGAGGATGATGCAAAAGGCAGGGGAGGGTTCTGCTCTGCTGGACACAGGGTCGCTAGGAGTTGGAATTGACTGGAGGGCACTAACAACAACAAAGATTCTAAATTATCTAAATTTTAGATGAAGTTTGGCCTGAAATTTAATTTCATACTTTCCTGTGAATAGATTTCTGGGAAATACTAAAATTTCTTAAGATCAAACTAACTTCTAAGAAATTTAGAAGCAATTACTGAAGTAATCACTATGTTAATTAAAATATATTCTATCCATTAAATTAGTTGATATGAAGACCTCTTCTTAGCATGACTTTTTCTAAAGCACTATTTTTAATGTACATGTGACAAAGTGAAGTGCATTTCTTTCAAAAATATATATTGGACTCTTCTAATTCTGAAGAATTGTTTTTTTCAGTTTGCCTGGATTGTTAGGGTCCATCTGATTTAGTTAGGACTTGAAAGCAATTGCTTTATTTTAAATTGGGGCATCATAGAATTTTGTTGTAAAGGGCTCTCAAATGTACTTTTTAAAGAGCTTTCTTAGTGGGGAATAATTGACATACAATAACAGAGTATTGACTATGTTTTCTTACTTTCTGTATTCTTGATGCTCTAGCATTTGGGACCTTGATTTTGGAGGTGTTAATTCCTAGAGATAGCAAATAACTCCCTGTGAGCAAACCCTTGATATACAAACCAGCCAATCCAGAGCCCACACTCCCAGCCACTTCCTTTATCAAACTCTCATACACCAAGCCAATACTCCCCTGCCTAAATCACCCCAGGGCTTGGTACTGGACAACTAGAGACCACCCCTGTAGTGCAGAGCCTGCCAAATGATTCAAACTATCCAATTCTAAGCTTACTCAGGGTACCTGCCCTCTCTCGCCCACTCCTTCCCATTAAAACCCCAATAAAGGCTCTGGGCCATGTTCCTCCCTCTTCCTCTCTGCCTCCTGACCAACTCTGGTCCTTCCCCATGTGGCCCTGCATGGCGTGCTGTGCCTCCTGTTTCTAGGGATCTGTGAGTACCAACTTATTCCGTCGTGACAGTCATTTTGTGTCTGTATGTCTTACCATACCTGATTAAAACAAATCCTGAGCATATTTTTAAAACAAACTGCATGCATGTAAAGTGTGCAATTTGGTAAGTGTTGACACACGTATACACTGTGAAACCATCACAACAAGCACGATAATGAACATATCCATCACCTCCAAAAGGTCCCTCAAGCCACTTCATAAGATCTTGCTCCCACGCATCTACATCTCCACTCCCCGTCCAAAGGCAACCACTGATCTGCTGTCATTATAGATTAGTTCACATTTTCAATTATTATATATATGTATGAAATAATACAATATGTACTCTTCTTGTTTGGTTTCTTTCACTCAGCATAATAATTTTTAACTTATCACAGTCTACCTTTAAGCGATATGATAGTACTTCACCTACAGTATCAGAAACTTCCAACAGTATATTTCCATTTCTTCTCTCCTGGTCCCTGTGCTATTGCTAGCATCCATTTTACTTCCATGTGTCTTATAAACCTCATAATAAGTTGTTATTATGTTTTATGTGTTATAATTTATGTGCATCATATTTTTCCTCCTAGACTGTAAGCTACTTGAAAATGGAATTCACATCTGAGTCAGTGTTGGCATTTAACAGGTGTTCACAACACATTTTTTCAATGAATGCGAAAAGAGAAGAAGGGAGGTGGTGGCAAAATGGCTCTGCTGCTCACCAAGGTGAAGCCCTGGACTGGTCCGACCAATGTAGAAATACACGATGGCAGCAACACCCATATTAACCAGGGTATAGACCCACTGGATCACAAACATGATGAGAAGGGACCCGACAGCCTGTGGAAACAGAGTACGAAGGGCAAGTCACCTAATGGTATGGCACACGGTAAGCAAGCCATGAGGCTAGGGCCTTAAGAAACAATAGCTCCTCTCATCAACCTCTGATCACTATAAACGTCTGAATAACTGAAGTTCACTCATAACTCAAAAAACCTCACTTAAGCAAGTATTGGCAAGACACCTCCTGAAAGTACCCTCTAGCCAAAACTATCAATAAACAGATATTCTATACCAGTTCCTTGTCCTACTTCTCCCTACAAGAAAAAAATTAGAGTGAAATTATGCTAATTTGGTGTACCTAGAAATTTAATGACCCAGAGGTTATCAGAGATGATTACTTAATTTAAAAGTAAACCATTGATTAAAATAAGTGGTTCATTAAATGTAATCTTGCCATATGTCGTCTCATCTAAATTCTAATATAACAGGCAATTAAAGCACATTGCTCCTAATTAAGACTCTCCTCTTTCCTCCCTCACTCGCACCCCAATTTCACACATCTCCACCCGAATTATGCCTCAAGGACAAGTTACTCACCCCCAACAGGGAGACCCAGGGGTTGCACAGGCGGGTGTAGAAAGAAGTTGGTCTCCTCTGGACATCTTGTTCCTGGAACTTGGACTTCAGGAAGAAATCTAAAATATAAATGAGCCAAATCCTTGGTTATAAATTTGTTACTGAACTCTCTTCTATTTTTATGAGCAAATACCCATGTGCTCCTCTTCTCTAATTTTGTAACTCAGCCTAAAAGATAACTTCTATTCACCTTAACCTTTAACTCCCTTGGCCACACTTGAGGCTTGTCTTTACCAGTAATCTTACACCTCCTAAATCATGATTTCAACTAATCTACTCTCAGCCCATCACCTCATTTTTTTTTTTCTCATGTGCTCTGCTCTCCCCTCCTCCAACTATTCTAGACTACAGAGGGACCTAGTATGTTTTTGCTTTCTATCACCTACTTCTTGTTTTCACTTCCTCTTACCTAGCTTAGATGCGTTACATGGTCCAAGACTCAGTGTTCCCTGCATATATCATCTGCTTCCACACTTCAGCATTCCTCAGTGGTTTTACACCTAGTCGACTCATTCTCCTCCTCTCTGATGTAACAAATCTACAACCTCTCCTCTCAAAAGAGAGCTTTCATATCTTCTCATCACCAAATCTACCAACCTACAACTACACCAGATCTACAACTTGCATCCGTACCCTCTCTTTTGCCTTCCCTCCTTTACAGTGGATGAACCATCCCAGCTCCTATCTAAGGCCCTTCCCTCCACTTGTGCCCTGCTCAAGGACTTTGCTTTTGCATCATCAATTTTTCCATCCTCTACTGAATCATCCCTATCAAATACAAGTACATTGTAATTTCTTCCACCTAAATAAATAACTTCTTTTCACCCCCCAGTTTTCTGCCCTGTTTGTTTGTCTCCCTTATAGCAAAATTCCTGAAGAGCATTGCCTATACAATCTCTACCTTCCATTATTTCCTCAACCCGCTTATAAGATTGTATATACCATTTCACTAAAACTACTCTTTCTAAGGTTGCCAATAACTTGAGTCTTTCAAATTCAGTGGTCAACTCCCAGTTCTCATCCTATTTGACCTTGCAGACAGCATCTGATACAAGTGATCACTTCCTTCTTATTGAAGCACTTTCTTCTCTTGGTTCCTAGGATGCTTCACTCTCCCGATTTTCCTCCTATCTTACTGCCCACTTCTTTTCAGTCCCTTCTGCTGGCTTGCCTCCTCCTTCCAACCCCAAAATATTGGAGTATCCCAGCACTCAGTCCTCAGCACTCTTTTTTTCCATATATACTCACTCCTAGGAGATCTCATGTAGTCCCATGGCTTTAAATACTATCCATACACTAATGATTCCAAGTATATATCATCCTCGACCTCTCTCTTGAACTGAAGTTTTGAATATCTAGTTGTCTTCTCAACATCTCCCTTTAGATGGCTAATACGTACCTCAAACCTTAACATGGCTAAAGCCAAAATCTATTCTCCCCAATATTTTCATTTGAGTAAATGACACCACCCCACCATTCACTCAAATATCTAAAATTCATCTTTGACTCCTCTCTTTCTCATACCTACATTTATTCCATTGGTAAATCCTCTTGATTCTACCATCAAAATATATTCTGAATATGACCACTCCTTACCACCTCCACTGCTCCCATCCTAGTCCAAGTCACTTTCATCTTTCATCTGATTTACTGCAGTACACTCCTGCAATAGAGACCACAGCTAGAGTACATTTCCCAGGATCTCTTGCAGTTAGGTGTGGCCATGTGACTGAGTTCTCACCAATGGAATGTGAACAGAAGTGGTGAGTGCCACTTTGGCACCAAGGTCTTTGAGAGAGTAGGTGTGCTTCTTCTCTGTGCCTGAACCCTGAGCATGGCAACTCAGTCTTGACTTTGCACATGACAAGGTCCTAGGGGATGGGGAAGTCATAAAAATGGAAGGTGCCTGGGTCCCTGAATCAACGTATGGAGGAGAGCCTCCCACTGATTTGGAACACCCTTCCTAGACTGTTAGTACAAATAAGAAATAAATTTCTATTGTGTTCGAGCCACTACATTTCTGATTATTTGTTATAGCAGTTGAGCTATCCTAATTAATATACCTCCAAACTGGCCACAGTTTCCTCTCTTACCTCTATACAACCCATTCCTCACAAATCTAGTGATCTTCTTAAAGCATGAATCTGATCAAAGCACAGCCCAAGCTAGAACCTTCTGTGGCCTTCTATCCCACTCACCATAGCCTGCATGGCCCTATACAACACTGACCTCCACTTTCCTCACTGTACTCATCTCCTGCCCCTCTCCCCCAGCCCACTCCTCTCCAGTCACTGCTAGACTTCTGCTGTTCTTGGAATCTGTCAATCCAATTCCCACCTGCACCTTTATACATGCAATTTCCTTTGCCTTGAACTCTCTCCCAACATGTCTGCATGGCTCACTCCTTTATACAACTCACTTCTCCATTAAAATATCCTCTTCTCAGAGAGATCTTTTGTAACAGACCTATCTGAAACAGTAGCCCCTCTCCCCACACTAGTCTCTCTCTCTATCCCATTCCCCTGCTTTATTATTCTTCACTGTGCTTATCATGTACTGACATTACAGTATACATTTGTTTGCTTGTTTATTATGTGTCTCCCCTACTAGCACGCAAGCTCAGTGACAGCAGAGACCATCTATGTCTGTTCAGCATGTTGCCCCAGCACCTTGAACAGTGCTTGGAATGTTACAAATGTTCCACACATGTGATTAAGTGAATTAACGGACCCTCCTAGCCCCCAAGAAGTCTTCACCTTCTCAACATCTATCTGCCTTCATCATGTGTTTCCAACTATTATACTTATCTTTTATTCCTTCATACCTTGAGGGCAAAGACCGTCTTTAATATCTCTAAACGTCAAATCTAGGCCTTTAGAAGTTCACGTATAGGAAGAATTCAATAAATGTCTCCTTAGTAATTGTGGATTAAAATAAACATTGCCAAGGTTTATGATTGATTTGAATTGATGGCTGTATTACTTTTTTTTTAAAGAAGGAATACTGTTATGATTGTCATTAATTAAATTGTATAATTTTAACAAGCCCAATGCATGATTCATTTTTTCAGTCACAGATTTAGTGAAATACAGTTGCCCCCTTGGTAATTAAGGAATACTATTGGTTAAGGACTTAGATTTTTACCTCTCTGAGATTTGTCAAATGTTAAGTTCACCCTTTCACACTTGATCTTGACCTTGCACAGCCTCAGTTACACTGTACCTAAGGAAATGGGGTGTGTGTGTATGTGCATGTTTTCTGAGGAACTCAGGGGGACGCAGTAGGAAGGGGAGTGTCCTCCAGGCAAGCACAATGCAGTTTTATACGTCAGATGTAAGAGAGAATTCATGCAAGGATGCTCGATGACTTGAAGAGGTATGACAATACAGGCAGACAGTTATTCAGAATTCTAAATAGAATTCTAAATTTGGAATTCTGGTTCCAAAACCCTTCCAAAGTAACTGAAGACTTTTTTTTCTCTTTTCTAGGATTTTGATGGAAGAAGCAAGTTTTTTGTTTTTTTTTTTTTTTTTGAGGAGATCAGCCCTGTGCTAACACCCGCCAATCCTCCTCTTTTTTTTTGCTGAGGAAGACGGCCCTGGGCTAACATCTGTGCCCATCTTCCTCCACTTTATATGGGACGCCGCCACAGCATGGCTTGCCAAGCAGTGCATCGGTGCGCGCCCGGGATCCGAACCAGCGAACCCCAGGCCGCCGCAGCGGAGCGCGCACTTAACTGCTTGCGCCACCGGGCCGGCCCTGGAAGAAGCAAGTTTTACAGACTGGCGGTGAAAGGGGACAGTTTCTCATGTGAGAAGTACTAGAGTGATAACCAGGAAAGCAACTTTATCAAGCTTTAGTCACAAAACAAACAGACAGGTAAATAAAGCCACACATCTGACATGTTAAAAATATCAAATATAATAAACATAACGCATAATCTTAAATTGTCTTTTAAAATCTAGAAATGAGAAAATATAGAAATTACTTAAAAAGTATTAAATCATCTCTGAAAATGCATACCATATCTTTATCAGAATAAATAAACATAGTTCTAATTAGAACGCACAAACCAAGAACGTGCATTGATTCAGTCCACATAGGATCATGTTTCAAGTCCACGTGGTATTTTATCATGTTAATACTATAATTTGCTTAACCACTTTCCAAACGGTGCACATTTAAGTTATTTCTAATTTGGCATTAGCACAAACAATGCAGCTATGACAATCTTGTACATATTTTATGGTTTGTTGTTTGGTTTAGGGTTGTTTCCTTGATATACAGTTCCTCCAAAAAGATTTACTAAGTCAGGGCAATTAAACAGTTTCATATTTCTTGCTACCTCCTGAAAGATCATTCTCCAGAAAGAATGAACCAGAGGGACTTTCAGCTATGGCAATGTGAAGAGGTTGGTGAATCCTCTCTACAAGAAATAAGTAAACAACTTGAGAAAATACTCAAAAACAATCACTCAGGGCTCTAGAAACTTATCAGATGGAGACAACAAGTTGAGAAGTGTTTATTTTTCAAAAACTGCTGGAGCTGAGGGTAAGAACAGTGAGAGTCTGTGGCCTTCTTGCCTGGGCTGCTCCCATCCCCACCCCAGTTCTCACCAGCATGGAGCTGGTCAGAAACCAGCAGTTTTTCTGCTAGAGAAGGCAAACTTGATTTGGAGCAGGGGGCAAAAAACCTATGCCTTTAAAAGCTAAATGTGGTGATCAGAGTAGAAAATTGAACAGGGAAAATCCTCAGCTTTGCTAGCCTGAGGTTGCAGACCAAACTAGGGTGAGCAGTGAACCAGCCAGAAATTTAATGGGAAGATTCTAGAAATGAGAGAGCTGCAGAAGGACCAAAGCTCCCCACATTTCCCTGGCTGACTGGAAAACTATGTCCATGCCTGGGGAGACCCAAGAGAAACTGCAAAAAAGTAAAAGCCAGGAGAGACTGGAGAACTGGCTGCAATTTTGAATGTGCTTCCCAACCCACACACACAGATCCACTGGCAGAAGGTGGAAGCCTTATGGGCCATGCAGACACAGGGGCAACCCCCCTGGCA